CAGCACTTGCTCCCACCCAGGGGGAGCTCTCAGCTCCTGGTGTCACCTCTGATAAGCAGAACAAGGCTGGGCGGAATAATGGTCTGAGACGAGCTGTTAGGGGAGAGGGGGATGCTGTTCCAGAGAAACAGAGGGAAGGTGCACACCTTGGTAAAAGACAGCCGAGCCAGCCCAGACCCCTTGGGTTTTGGCTCCTACGGCCCCCACTGCTTAGCCCCGGGCCAAGATGGCCTGTCTGGTTTCTGAACTCTGTAGCTGAGGGCGGAGGCAGTTGTGGGGCTCGGAGGGGCTCTGGGGCCCAGAGGGTCTCTGTCTTCATGACCTGGGGCTCCTTGCACAGGAGACGAGTCATCTGTGATGTCTGGACTAAGGGTCTCGGCCACTGGAGGGCACGGGCCTCCGCAGCTGCTGCTTAACATGTACTGTAGGGAATGTTTCAATGCGTAAGGGGCCAGCAGGCCGACCCGGTGTTGGAGGGGAGTTCCTATTAACCAGCCACCTTCTTGGTGCCGGTGCTCACTGTACCACGCGCGGTGGCTGTGCCAGTGCTCAAACCCAGGCAGCTGGTCCTAGATGTGCTGGTAGACAATCCGAGTGAGATTCTCTGACTTCAGTTTCCTCCTCTGGTAGTAGGTGTGATTGCTGGCCTTTCTACAGGCAGGAGGGAGGTTTACCGTGAAGTTGATGGCGCTAATGCTTCAGGACCATCACTACTAACATGTGCCCCTTCCAAAGTCCCTAAACTTTTTATTATTCTTTTTTTTTATAATTTTTTAAAATATTTTTATTTATTTCTAGGAGAGAGAGAGGCAGCGTGAGCAGGGGAGGGTCAGAGAGAGAGGGAGTCACAGACTGAAACAGGCTCCAGGCTCTGAGCTGGCAGTCAGCACAGAGCCCGATGCGGGGCTCGACCTCACGAACCGCGAGATCATGACCTAAGCGAAAGTCGGACGCTTAACCAACTAAGCCACCCAGGTGCCCCTATTATTCTTTTTTTTTTTTTTTTAATATTTTTATTTATTTCTAGGAGAGAGAGAGACAGCGTGAGCAGGGGAGGGCCAGAGAGAGAGGGAGACACAGACTCCGAAACAGGCTCCAGGCTCTGAGCTAGCAGTCAGCACAGAGCCCGATGCGGGGCTCGAACCCACGAACCGCGAGATCATGACCCAAGCGAAAGTCGGACGCTCAACCGACCAAGCCACCCAGGCGCCCCTCTTTTTTAACATTTATTCATTTTTGAGGGAGAGAGAAAGAGAGAGCAAGCTTGAGCAGGGGAGGGGCAGAGAGAGAGACACACACACACAGAATCCAAAGCAGGCTCCAGGCTCCCAGCTGTGAGCACAGAGCCCGATGTGGGACTTGAACTCATGAACTGTGAGATCATGACCTGAGCTGAAGTCGGACATTCAACCGACTGAGCCACTCACATGCCCCTAAATTTTTATTTTTAAATTAAATTTGGAAAGTAGTTTTATTGGAATATAATTGCCATACAATAAACTATGTATACATATTTCAAGTGGGTAACTTGGTTGAGTTTTGACAGACATATACACCTATGAAACCAATTTTCACCATCAAGAGAGTAAAACATACCATCTTAACCTAAGATGGTCTTAACCTAATTTTGTGTTTATATTTTAAATTCTTTTTCTCAACGAGAGGCTTCCAATTTTTAGATGCTTCAGGTTCCCCCCAAATCTGGATTTGCTCCTGCATGGAGAGACTCAAATGAGAACAGGATAAGAAAGCACTTTTAAAATTATGTTGGGCTAATCAGAAATAAAATGTATTTGCTTTTATTTAACTTGTACCTTGCCTGTAGAAGGCTAAAGCGCCTTGTGGGACATTTGGCTGGTATCGTATCACTATTTAACATCCCTTATCATTCATGTAACAAATGGTTATTGGGAACCTGCTACAGAAAACCACAGGCAGTATTCTAGGTGTTGGGTGTGAATCCCTGTTCTCAGGAGCTTTCCTTCTGCTGGGAGTGGGCGGGGGGGGGGGGGAGGGCGGTGCTCTGAGTAAGTAGGCAGGTCACATGGCATGTGAGAAGGGGCTATGGAGAAATGGGTGGGTGGGGGCTGACCTCAGTTTTCAGTGGAGTGTTCAGGGAAGTGGTCTCTAAGCCAATGGCATCTGAGCAAAGAAGGTGTCAAGGGTGTGACGGTGAGAGAGCGGGCCACCTGTGGCTGGGCTGAGAACAGGACACACAAAGGCTCTCAGGTGGGTATGGGCCAGGCGGGTCTTAGGAACAGCCAGGAGACCCCATGACAGGTGACATAAATAAGGTCAGGGAGGGGCTGAGCTGGGGATGGAGTGAACAGATCCTGTGAGGCTCTCTGGGCCACTGGAGGGGCCTGGACACTTATAACCTGAGGGAGATGGGAAGCCACTGGAGGGTGTTTGAGCCACAGGATTGCTGTGGCTGCTATATTGAGAATAGGCTGAGAGCAGGGGACCCGGGTAGAAGGCTGTCGTAATAGTTGAGGCCAGAGAGGATGGGAGCTTGGACCATGGAGGGTGAGGCGGTGAGAAGCGTCCGGATTCCGGATGTACAATTGACCTCCGAACAGTGTGGGGGTTAGCGATGCCACCCTCCCCCTGGACACAGTGGAAAATCCACATGTAACTTGACTCCCCCAGAACTTAACTACTAACAGCCTCTTATTGACCAGAGACTTACCAATAACATAAACAGTCAGTTAACCCATATTTTGTATGTTATACGTATTATGCACTATAGCCTTAAATAAAGTAAACTAGAGAAAGGAAGATGTTATTAAGAAAACCCTAAGGAAGACAAAATAACATCTGTGGGACTGCATGTATTTACTGAGAATAATCCGTGTGTAAGTGGACTTGTGCAGTTCAAACCCATGTTCTTCAAGGGGCACCTGTCAAGATTTGCTGACAGACTCATTCATTTGACAAACAGGGCCACATTTTGGGGATGCAGACCTGAATGGGGATGCGGTCCTTTGCTCTGAGGGGTCGACAGTGTAGCAGACAAGACAGAAGGAGCTGATACGCTGCCCCCTGCGCACTAGGCGTGGGCTGGAGGAACGGCATGGGGACGCGGCAGTCTCTGACGCCGTTCAGACGAGTGTCCCCTGCCTTCCCACCACTAGCCCCAGGACTCTCCAACTCGCCCTTCACAAGAGCATATCCTCCAGCACTGCAGTCAACCCCCTAGCTCTCCGGAACCTTCTCTCTCCCCTGGCTCTTCTTGCCCCCAGGCTGGTCTCTGAACTATAAAACTCACACAGGCCTGTTCATTTTACAGGAAAGGAAACTGAGCCACAGAATGCTCTCACCGAGCCAAAGTTAAGGTCTGTTTCCCAAGTCTATAAAAATTTGGTTGGAATAATCTTGAGGAAATACCTTAAAAGGGCCTGTCTGAAGAAGAGAAGCCTGGGTGGAGGTCCATGGAGGAATGCAGTCCCATTGGCCACGGTCCCACAGCTCGTTTGTGGAGCTGCTGGGCTAGCACCTGGCTCCCCAAAGCCCAGTTCTGTGACCCGTGAATAGTCACCGCTGGTGATGACTTAGACTCTCTGGCAAGTGATAAAGGCATTTCATAGCTGCCACATGAGTGTCTCAAGTTAGACACGGGGCAGGACTGTTGGACTTTATTCGGACATTCGTTTAAAGGAGCCTTTGGAATACCTCTCCCTGGAGAACTTTGAGAAGAGACATCTCACTGGATCCCTGCTTTAGGTGCACACCAGCCGGCAGGTGGTATCCTCAGGGTCTGATCCTCCCTCCCTCTTTCCCTGACACAGACAGCCCAGTGCTCCCCGGCCAGACAGTCTTTCTGGCAGACGAGACCTCTTCAGGGTGGCCTCTTAGTTCAGCGCTGGCAGTGGAGAAAGGTCAGCTGGGGGGCCAGCTTGGCCTTGGCTGTGCTCTCTGCTTACAGCAGGGTGGCGGACAGCCTTCTCATCACCCCGCCCCCACCCCTGCACCAGCACCCTCCTTACTCACAGCCACAGCCATCCAGGCTCAGCAAGGGCCAGCAGGACAGGGCAGGCTGTGCCCTCTGGCCCCAGAGCTGCACCAGGGAGATGCAGCTCCTGCTGAAATCCCCTTCCCCTCCCTCTCCCCAGCCCCATGCCCTTCTTCATGGTTTAATCCTACCCAGTGGTCAAGGTCCAGCTGGAGGCTCAGCTGACCACCCAGCCTGAACTGACCCCTTGTGCTCTGAACATACTGTGTGTCCCCTGCCTGTGGCATGCACTGGAGTTACAGCATGGGCACACATCTCTCCTCAACTGGGTGATAGTTTCTTTGAAAACAGAACCTCTTTTCAGAGTTGCATTTATGACAGTAGAGGACACGGGTGACTCCTTACAGTTTTCCAGGGTCCCTCAGATGCAGCTTCAGCCTCCAGCAGGGTGGGCCCCTGGCTCACATCTCTAGCTCCTGGCCTAGTCAGAGCCACGGAGCTGGAGATGTGGTCTGCCTGGGTTTTCTTTATTTGAGTCAAGCACCTCAGGCCTCCTCTCTGGGGACGCTCAGTGTCTCAGCACTTATGTCCTCCATCCCCACTGCTGCTCCCAGACAAGACAAGGTATCCTGTAAGGTCCTGCTCCTGGGGAGGTGGTGGAAGCCACGGGGACTGAATGGAGGATGGCCAAGGGCCACATGCTTCCCTGCAGCCTCTCAAGTGTGCAGAAGGCCCCAGGAGGAGGCAGGACTGTCAGCCTGCTGTGGAGTGAAGGGGAGGAGGGCTGAGAGGGCTCCCCGAATTTGTGTGGGGCCCACAGCCCTGTTAGCTGCTTGCTCTCAGGTTACCAGTCTCCCAGCAAAGCCTCAGCTTCCTCCTGCTGCTGGGAGATCCGCGGGACCCAAGGAAGACAGGAGGGAGCCTGCAGAGTCCTCACCCCGAGTACCTACTCAGGGTGGACAGAAGATGAGGGAAGGGATCCCCCAGGTCCTCCCCTGTGCCTGCCTTTTGTCCTTCTTCCGCTGAGAGGCTCTTGGTGTCTTTGTAGGTCGGAACGAGCTGATTGCCCGCTACATCAAGCTCCGGACAGGGAAGACCCGCACCAGGAAGCAGGTGGGCCCTGGAAGATGAGTGTGGGTCCCAGGGGCAGGTGCCCCAGTCCCAGCCTGGTCCCGTGGTGGGCCAGGGCCTGTGAAGGCCCCCGTGTGGGTTCCCGGTGGGGCTGGTTCAGAGGGGTTGTGTCTTTTTGGTATACCACAGACAGTTCATTTTCCCTGCGGTTCCTGCTGCCATCAACTGGGAGGAAGTCCCTCACCTTACGGAGGAGTCAGCAGCCCCCTCCCCTCTCCAGGACCCCAGAAGAACAGAGAGCAGAGTGCTGGCAGTACCCTTATATTTATTGCCAGACTCTGGGTTAGCTGGATATGCCAGGACTGAAGGCCCAGCATTGACTGGCCCTTTCATTCATTCGTTCCACAGATGTGGATTGAGGTTGGGTGGGGGTGGGTAGCTGAGGGTCAGGGAGCTAGAATGGGGAGCACAGGTCTTCTGGGAGGTAGGGACAAGAGCCTTCTCTTCCTGCTGCAGGTCTCCAGCCACATCCAGGTGCTGGCTCGTCGCAAAGCCCGCGAGATCCAGGCCAAGCTAAAGGTAAGGCAAGCAGCAGCAGTGGGAAGGAGGACCTAGGGCATGGGTGGGGCTAGCTTCCTAGGAGTTGGGGCCCCTTTTCCAGCAGGAAAAGCCTTCTCTTGGGTTCAGGGGAAGACTTTTGTGTGTAAAGCCAGCATGCTTGTCAGTGTTGAGAAGACAGATTCAGCCTATAACCCTGCTCCTGTCTATTCAGGGACTGACACTTGACCTCAGAGCTGTGTGTGAGTGTGTGTGTGTGTGTGTGTGTGTGTGAGAGAGAGAGAGAGAGAGAGAGAGAGAGAGAGACACCGACCACCAGGCCCTACAGCACCCCCCCTCCCTGGGCAGAATACTTTCCAGATCACAGTTGGATTGCCCTCCATACTGCATTCCTTGAGGATATCCTTGGGCCACAGGCCCCTTAGTGCCATCCTCTGAGCCTGCAGGCCGGTCAGGGTGGGAGGCACTGCTGTGGGCGGAGGCGGAGGGGGTAGCTCTTACTGCGGGAGCTGGCGGATTTCCTTCCTGCTCTCTGCTCTCTGAGATGGGCAGTCCTCTCCCCTCCCTGGACCAGCCCCACCTTACAGGCCCGTGACCCAACAGGTGACTGCTGACAAGACTCAGGCCCCCTGGTCTCTGGAGCCAGAGGGCCCCTTTGGCGAATGCCAAGAGGGAATGAGCTCCCACCACAGACGTGTTCATAGCAGAGTTTGCACAGCTACTTGGCAGGAAGAGCTGACATTTGAGGGAATCAGACTGAGACCAGCAGCTAACATACTTTTTTTTTAAACAGCCAGCACCGCCCCCCCTTCCTCCTAAACAAAATATCATACCAGTATGTTATCAAAGGGGCTACTCTAGTCAAAGCTAGGTTGGTGGGGAATAGGCCAGAGATCCCCTGCTCCCATTTGCCTCTGATGCTTCATGGCTCTTGAACCCCAAAGTAGCTCAGAACCCAAGTAAAAACTCCTGGATTAGATGAGCTTCAAGGTCCTGTGTAGCTCCAGTTGTCCATGATTCTGACATTGGAGGCTCCAAATGAGTGGTGGGAACTCCCAGGAAGCCACACCCCACTGCCCACTCAGTCCAGCTGTCCCCCACCCCCACAGCTGCAGCCCAGCACCTCGCTCCTTTGTCCCCGGGACAGCTGGCTGGGCCTCAGCTGTCACTCCCTCCCTCTCAAGCCAGCACACATACCCCCAGAGACCCTTGGGTCCTGGAGTCCAGTTTGCTCCTCACTTTCCCTCTCTGGTCTGCCTGGGACCCTGCAGGGGGCCAGAAAGGAAAAAAGACTTTTACTGTATTCTGTTTATGGCCATTGCGGGAAGCTTTTAATTCCCTTGGGGACCATCAGTATGGCCGCATTTGCTTCAAGGAATTGCACCTACCTTTGTCCACACGCTGTAACTTGGAGGCCAAGAAGAGCTCCTTAAATAAATGCAAATCTTTATACGTTTTTTTGGGGGAGATTGGTTTGAGGATTTTGTCATATTCTCAAAGGGATCTGAGACGCAACATAATTTGGCTCCCTGGTGGACAGACTTGTATTAGGTGGAAATCCTCCAGGACTCGGGATGTTGTCTAGCAAGCTCTGCCCTTCTGTCTTGTGAGCTTGGCTGAGTCACTGACCTTCCTCAAGCTCCATTTGGTTTAAAATATAAAATGACAGAGTCAAGCAAGTTGACGTCTCAGGTCCTCTCCAGCCCCAAAATTCAGTGACTCCCTGGCCTTATAGCCTGGTCATTGATGTCACTCACCATTATGTCCTTCCTACTTCCCCTTGATTCCTGTCCCACCCTAGCGAGGACGTGGTTTCCTGAGTCCCAGTTATTTGTTTAGATCAGCTCTCCGGGAAGGGACGTAAGTGGCCGACATTGAGTGGATGGAGCTCTCTGGTTTCATAATGTAGTTGTTAACCAAGGAGGGTACGGCCTACTGCATCACATGTGTCCTCCTGGAGGAGGAGGCCTGGGCCAGCTGGCCTGGGCGTGTTTGGCTTCTTCCTCCTGAACAGTGCAAGCATCCTTGGGAAGAGGCCACCTTAATGCTGACTAGCTCCCTCTTCGGTTGTCAGGGAGCCTCTGAGAGCAAGGCCCAGATTTGACCCCAAAGGACAGTGGTTTGGGGATGAGCCATCCACTTAGAAGGGTTTCCTGTGCATTCTGTGGTGTGTGCTGGGTGCTGGCAAATGTCAGTGTCCACCCTCCTCACCCCCTGTCCCCCATACCCTGTCCCCCGTCCCCTACCCCAGGCCTGCAGCGGCCCGGAGGTGAATTGATATGCCAACCGGGGCCAAACTCTCAGGCCAGCCATCACCACCGTGAGCACACTAGTCACATAAGTTCTCTGAGCCTTGGTTTCTTCATCTTAAAATGGGGATCATACTGGTCCTGCCAGCCTCACGGGAGTGGTGTGCTGTTCAGAGTCCACGTGTGGGTCATCTTGTGCCGAGTGAGTGCAGATGGGCCTGGAAAGGCCGAGTGGAGGGGCCTCTGGAATCCTGACTCCCCAGTCACGAGGTGCCGGGATGCTAGGGGACCATCGAGGTGCTGCCCACCTCATAGGGCTCCGGTGGGGATCGAGTGAAACCGTCCTGGAGCGGCGCCTGTAGGCTGCAGGGACCTTCATCACTTCGCGGTTAGTTGTGACTCAGGACAGATCTGGGTCTACCAACTTCATTACCACATAACGGCCTGTTTATTTTCCCCATTTAAAAATATTCATCGTAAAGATAGAATTTCTAATCTGAGCTCCTGAGTTGACATAATCCAGTCTTTTGGCCTCAATTAAGCTACACACACCGAATAATACTTGCTATTCTGGTCTATAAACGTGGTCTTATTTTGGCCAAAAACACAGTTCCCATTAGGCTTTTTGAAATACAGAAATCTGAGTACAGAGATAATGGAAATACGGTCTCATTTTTCAAGACCTGTGGGATTAGGGTACTCAGGATGAGAACTACTGGTTTACACACACATAAAAGTTGCTATTACTATCATTATCATCACCACTGTCATTAAGTACCTATCTGTTCCTCACATATGCTTCCCTGAGTACTTACTTGTTCAGAGCCTGTGCATGGTGAACCCCTTTTTGGGGTCTTTGGACCCATGGAAGGCGAATAGCCTGTATTTACATCCTGACATGTAAAAGGTTGGGGGGTACCTCTTGTGTCCACAGTGCAAGGGAAGACCCCGGGGCAGGCCTGAGACAGGTGGGGCCACAAGAGACAGTCTTTGTGACCAAGGATGACCCCTCCTGTCCATTCGAGGAGGGCCCGACATATTTATGTATCATCTCCTGTGAGCCAGGGACCATGCCAGCCACCAGTGGTGTGGAGGCGAGCAAGGACTAGAAAGCTTCTGTTCTCAGAGTATGCCCGTGGCAACACCGCCTGGCAGATGGTCTCCGAAAGGCCCTTTCAGCTCTAATAAAATAGGCTGGACAGGTATTTTGCCCCTTTGACGGATGAGGAAACTGGTCAGAGAAACCAAGTGACCGGCACTTAGTCACAGAGTTAATAGCATTGCAGGGGCGTGAGCCTGGTTCCCCAGGGCCTCGTCCAGGGCTCTGGGCACCGGCGGTGGGACAGCTTCCCTGAGCACACGCCTGGACCCGCCTGCCCCACCCACGCCTGCCCTAGTGACCACTGCTGAGGCCCTCCCTTCCAATGTCTCCCCAGGACCAGGCAGCTAAGGACAAGGCCCTGCAGAGCATGGCTCCCATGTCGCCCGCCCAGGCCATCTCCGCCACAGCCTTCCACAGTAAAATGGCCCTCGCCCGGGGCCCAGGCCACCCAGCAGTCTCAGGGGTAAGTGGGGCTGCCTGGAGCCAGAGGCCGCACCAGCCCCTCCTCACTCCTCCCCTCCTGAGGAGCCAGAGGCACTGGCCAGGCTGCATTTCTCTCACTTGAGTCCTCCCAGGCTGGGAGAGCCAGGGGGAAGGAGGGACCCAGGGCCCAAGGGCCATGCTGAAGCACAGCTCTGCCGGCACCGGCTCTACCTTCTCGGGGGCCTTGCCCGTGACACAGCAGGCCTTCCACCCGTTAGCTGACCAACCAAGTAGCTCTGCAGAGTTGGCCTGACTGACAGGTGATGGGGCTGACGCCTGAGGCTTCGGTGCAGCACACCCCTGAACAGCCCTCCACTACTCAGCCCCCTCACTGCTCCCCTCCGCACTCTCCCCTCTGTTCCTCAGCACTGTTTTCCTTCCAGTCGGAGAGCTGATGTTCAGGAACAAACTCTTGTTTGGATTTTAAATTCCTTGGCCACGGCCAGCTTGGTCATGCTTTCAGAATGGTCTAGAAAGGCTCCTCCTTTTCAGAGCTTTGTCCTCACAAGGTTTTCTTGGCTGTAGGGTCTACATGGGTCTTCACGATGCACCCGTAGCACTGCCCTAGGCATGTGGGGCAGGGCCTCACCCTGTGCTTGGTGAGCCTCTGGTCCAGCCGTTTTCAAAGTGTGCTCCAGAGACTGCTAGTCCGTCAGAATATTGCACAGATAGGACACAGAGTGATTCTGTGTGTAACGAAGTTTGGGCCGCTTAGAACTGCATAGTTTCTTGACCTCGGACTGTTCAGGCCTTACATGCTGCTCTGCACTGGGGGCCTCTCAGGAAGGAATACAGCTGCCGTGATTCCAAACGTGGCTTTTCTCTCAAGGAGCACCTTGGCAGAGCATGTCTGGAGACCAGAGACTTTGGGACACGGCTCTAACCTAGCCCAGTATAGCAGTGCTGACTCTCTCCTTACCGCCCACTGGGTCCAGGCCCCAGCCCTGCCTTCCAGGTGGGGCCCCTGCTCGGTCCCCCCATGCCACGGCCCTGTTGCATGGGCTATGTTGACTCTGCGCTTTTTGCCTCCTCAGTTTTGGCAAGGAGCTTTGCCGGGCCAAGCCGGAACATCCCACGAGTGAGTATGGCCTGCTATCGGTTGCTCTCTGAACTGAAGTCGAACCTGGCTCCCAGTGTGGGACAGGGCAGCAGTCAGGGGGCAGCCTTTCAGGAGGGGCTTGAGCTTTGGGATTGGGCTCTCCTGCTTTTTAGGCAACAGCTCAGTCTGCATCTGTGGACACCCTGGGGTGGCATTTGCTCCATTCTGTCCAGGGTGAAGCAAGGCCAGGGCTTAGGACCCCAGGGGAGGGAGGCTAGGAAGCGGACCTCAGGCTGGCCTGGGATGGGGGGAATGGGTGAAGGAAGGGCGGATGGGTGGGTTTTTCCCAACAGACAAGCTGCTTCTCTGGGTCATCCATGAAGCTTGAGGGAGGGAGCAGGTGGCCAGAGCCCACCAAGGCCACTGATGGTCAGACCCCTGGGCCGCACAGAGCAGTGGGCGCTGCCGGAGGCTCCCAGGCTGCAGCCTGCCCATGGCTTACACCTCCCCTCTCCTGTCTCCACAGTGTGAAACCTTTCTCTCAACAAACCTACACTGTCCAGCCTTCGCTGCCTCTGCCAGGTGGGTCGGCAGCACCCGGCGCCCGTGTACCTCGCACGCCTGCAGCTCTTGGCTGCCAGGTCCCAGACCCCAGCAGCTGGATGCCTCATGCCCCTCTTAGACGCGGCCCTGGCATGTGCTCGATCTCCTGGCCCCGTGCCCCCATTCCGTGCTCCAACCACGCATGCCTCTGCCCTGCACAAAACTCCCCATGCCTCTCAGGGTGTCTGTCACACTCAGGGCTTCCAGGGGTGCACACAGGTCCCAGGGGTGGTGCTTGCGCCCCAGGGTGGCTGCCCCCCCCCCCGCCCCCCAGCTGTCTTTCTAGGCTGCACGTGTGTCCTGTGCAGCGTGGCTCCTGGGATGGCCTCCCCCTTGGTGATGCTCAGATCCTCTCCTTCAAAATGGGAGGTGTGAAGAGAGCACGGCCTTGTTGCCTGAAGCCGCTTGTTAGAGGGAGCACTCCTGGGCAGGGGCCTGGAGCACAGATGGGGCCCCTCCCTCTCACCGCTCAGGTGACCTGCCCTGTCTTTGCTGCTTTCTCATGGGGTTGCCTCACCTCCTTCCTCTCTGCAGGGCAAGACAGGCTCCTAGCCGTTAACCCCTCTTTGTGGCTCGGGGATTGACTCTGCTGACCTTCTGGCCCGGCTTGTCCTGTTCTGAGAGCAGCCTGGGGTCCTTATTGCTACTTTCTCCCAGCCCGAGGGATCTGCCCTCCTGTGTGCCCCCTCCTCTCCCTGGCCACACTGTCTCGGTCCAGGCCCACCTACTCTTGCCTGGATTACTGCAGCAGCCTCTTAACCTGACACCAGTTTTATCTTGCCTCTCCTCTTTACCCTGCGATTCACCCAGAGAACTTTCTAAAGCGTCAGTCCCACCATGTGCTTCCTAGGTTTAAACTCTAATCCTGGCTCCCTGGTGCCTTCTGGGTACAATCTAAACTCTGTAGTAGGACTTGAGTGGACCTCCTTGGTAACTTAAGCTTTCTCTCCTCTCCCTCCTTTGCTCCAAGCCCCCAGCCCCACCCTGCTTTCTGGGCTGTGGCTCAGGGCTCCCTTTCTCCTGGAAGCTCCTCTACCCTGCCCCCCCAATTTAGGCATCATGAGCGCTCTGCACCCCCATCCGGCGTTTGACACCCTATTGCCAGCATCTGGGGTTAAAGGGCAATGTCTGTGGCTGACTGCTCTGTGTCTCCTGTATGTCCAGTCGTGTCTGGCACACAGTACTTGCTCAATGTCCAGCATGGCCCTCCTCCCACCCCTGTGTTTCTTCTCTCTCCTTCCTTGAATGCTCCTGAGTTACCCTCCTCAGCACGTGGGGCCTCCCAGCCTGGAAAGCTGACGTCTGGAGTCCTGCCTCACTGCTCACTGCTTTCTCACTTCCCGTCTGTCTCCAGTCCCAGGATGTGCCTCCTCTCCCTTACTCTGTCCTCACTACACTGCTTTCACTCAGGCCTTCTTTGTTTTTCTACTGGGAAAACAGCCCTGGGACTGAGCCTCTGAGTGCTCACCCTTGCCATCCTTCCCTCATGTTGAGTAGGAGCTTTCAGAAATGCGGGTGTGATCAGTTCCCTGCCCTCCCGAAAATCCTCTGTCCCTCCCAGACTCTCAGGCTAAAAATTCATGCTGCTTAGCCTAGCGCCCCCTCCCCGCCCATCTCTTGTCTCCATTTCCTGCCCCAGCACAGACCCACCCACTCTCGGGTTCCACTGAGGAACCAGCTTCCAAACTCACTGAGCTGCTCACACCCCTCGTTTGCCTCTGCGTGTCTCTGCTTGGAGCTCCCTTTCCTTCCTCCCCTCCTGCCTCCTGCTGGTTCCTACTAGTTCCTTCCAGCATCGCCTTCTTGGGAAAAACCTTCCCTGCCCACCCCCAAGTGCATACCTTGTCAATTCTTATCACACTCATGACTTCTGTTATTAGCAAACCTGTAAGGAGTGCCAGGCGCTGTTCTAGGGGCCAGAGAGACTGCAGTGCACACATCCGGAAACTTCTAGTTCTCACGGGGCTTACATCACTGTAGCAGTCAGTGTGTCTGGTTATCTGTGACCAGACCAGAAGCTCCACAATAGGAACGTAGTGGTGCTGCTCAGGAAGCCCTCAGCCCAGCTGGCACCCCCCACCCCCGCCTTGCAGGAGGCATCCATGTTTCCTTGAGGACAGTTCTTTATGAGGGGCCTGACTCCTCCCGGGCCAGGCACTCCCCTCCACCACCCCTGCTGGGAGGCCTACTTAGGAGGGGCAGGAGATGGTTCCTAGCCAGCACAGGATCCCACCCCTGGGCCTGGGATCCTGGCAGAGGCCAAGGTGTGGACCCATCCCCATGTGCCTCTCCCACTGCGTGCAGGGTTTGAGTCTCCTGCAGGACCCGCCCCGTCGCCCTCAGCGCCCCCAGCACCCCCGTGGCAGGGCCGCAGTGTGGCCAGCTCCAAGCTCTGGATGTTGGAGTTCTCTGCCTTCCTGGAACAGCAGCAGGACCCCGACACGGTAGGTCCCGGCCTGGGTCTGGCTGGCTCTCCCACCCTCTCCCTACAGCTCTTTGCCCGCCCGCCTCTGGCTCGCTGCCCTGGCCCTCCGCCCCATCCCACCTCTGGGTTTCGCTTAGACGTCCTGGTGCTTCCCAGTCTCCCCTTCCACTGCCCCCCCTTTCCTTCATCTGCCCTCCCTCTTCTCTCCTCACTCCACCTCCCTCTTCCCCTGGTACGGGTGATGCTCCCAGCCCAAAGCCGGCCCCTGGTTTCTTTGTTTATCCAGGTTCTCCTGGGCTCTCCCCCTGCAGCTCCCTCTCCAACCTGTACTCTTCCCTGCATGCTCTCTGCCCTCCCACCCAGCACCCCTCCCCATCCTTTCCCTTGTGACTCTGAGGAGCCTCCTGTGTCTGACCCATATCTTTGGGACAGTAGCAGAGAGAGGAGCTCCACCCCCACCCCTGTCCCCTTCAGTGTCCCGTGTCCCAGATGACCAGTGTCACCTGCAAAGGTCAGAGGAGGAGGCTGGGCTGACCAGGTGCCGGAGCCCAGGGGACTTCACAGATCATTTCACACTGACGTTTTCAAACTTGTGTTTTCAGCGGAGCCACACATTAATCACTGGTACTCAGAAGCCCAGTATGTACAGCAAAAGTAGAATTCAGGTGTAGCCAGGTGCCTGTAAGGGGTACAGGGGCGGCCCAGCCCCCATTTATAGGGTGGAGCACAGCTTGAAACCAGCTTACCGAGGTCAGTGGTCTGACATCACAGATGAGATAACAGAGGCCCAAAGATAGAAAATGACTCGCGACATAACCAGGGCAAGAATGATACACATAACTGCAATTCACTGAGTACTTACTAGGTTGTAGGCACAGCATCAGACACTTTATACCCGTGAACTTTGCTTTACATTCAATCCTTTTGCCGTCTCCATTTTACTAGTTGGGAAACTGAGGCCCAGAGAAGTGAAGTCCCGTGCTCTAGGTCGCGTGGCTGTGATCCGAGCTCTGGTCTGTCTGTCTGTCTGCCACCTTCCACCTGTCCCTCAAACCAGCTGTTCTCTCCGCAGTACAACAAGCACCTGTTTGTGCACATTGGCCAGTCAAGCCCAAGCTACAGTGACCCCTACCTCGAAGCCGTGGACATCCGCCAGATCTATGACAAATTCCCAGAGAAAAAGGGGGGACTGAAGGAGCTCTTTGAACGGGGACCTTCCAATGCCTTTTTTCTTGTGAAATTCTGGGTAAGCCCTTTGATAAAGTCTTCCTTCCAGTCCCTAGTACGTGGATGATAATGAGGGGAAAGGAGGAAGAGTGGGCATAAATAAGGTGCCCTTTCCATGGGTGCACACCTGAAGCAGGCAGGGCCAGTGCAGAACGGGGAAGCAAGCACAGAGCGGCCACATGGCGGCGGGAAGGCCAGGAGCCCGCCAATGGTGCCGGAGAGCCGCGCTGGCACAATCAGGCCCTCCTCTGAGAGGTGGCCATGGCAGCCCGGTCTGGCCCGGAAGTGCAGCCTCTAGGGGGCTGTAGTGCTGCAAAAAGACCTCAGGAGGCACTGAAGAGGGGGGGATAGGCAAAGAGCGCACGAGGAATGTTTGCGAACTCCTGAGCAGGCTTCAGGGCTGGGCAGGGCTTGGAGGAGCAGCCCTGGGATGCAGATGGGTCACCCCAGGAGGACACCTCCCCAGCTTGTCAACCAGCTGAGCCCATAGGCTTCACCTCTGCCACCTTCCCTGCCTCACCCCTGGCTGGAGGCTGTGTGGGGAAAGCCTCTTGCTTTTGAAACATCTCCTCTAAGACCAGGTGTAGTACCTGGCCTGGTTGCTGACCTTCCAGGGCCCCCGTACGCACAGAGAAGGGGGGCAGGGAAGAGAGTCAGACAAGTGCACACTAAGCCAGCAGTGAGGACGTGCAGAAGTCCCTCGGGCATGCTGATTGGAGCCTTTGACCAGTTTCAGAGTATTTTACGGGTATTTCCAGGTGGCTTAAGGGCCACTGGCTAGGAACCTCCAGCCTGCCTGTCCTCCGTAATCAAACTCCTGGGCCTGGCTATCTCCAGAAGAGACAGTGCTGGAACTGAAACTTGGGGTCCCCGAGCTTTAGGGTGCTTGCGTTTTACACGCTGCAGGCTTGCTGTATGAGCAGGATGGAAATTGGACCTGGGCCTTTAGGGGTGGGCCAGATCTATCAGGATCTGAGCCTGGAAGGGGCTGGCGCAGCCTGGGAGAACCATAAGGAAGTGGGCTCCAGAGAGGAGATCGTGGGTACAGGTGTGTGAGAGGGAATAATAGAAAATAAGACTGGAAAGGGGAGATGGATCCTGAAGGCCTTGATCATACAAGGTCTGCGTTTTAATCTATCTTGGGATAAAAAATAGGTTACATTTTCTTTTACTTTAAGTTATTAAATCAGTGAATATTAGTAATTATATTATTAATTAGTACTAAAGGCTTATAATTAAAAGCATCAGATTTTTGTCCAATTCTTTCCCAGCCCCAATCCCAATCCCCAGAGGCAATTGATGTAAATTTTCGCTTGTTTATTCTAGGTTTTATCTTCTTAGTTCAAAGTCCTACCCTTATATTGCTCTACCTTGATATCACAACTAAGACATTTTGTATTTATTCCAGTACTGTGGAAAAACATTAGCGATGTTATATCGCTTCACCTCAATACTATCATGTCCAGTAAGTTGTATAATTTAATAAAAGCAATAAAATGTTTACGTTTTTTGGCCATGCAGAATGACTGCCAGAGAGCCAAGAATAATGCTTATGATGTAATTGTGTTATGATCACATTTCATTTCTTGTACAACTTTCTTGGGTTTTCTTACAAATAATGGCTTTCTTACTTGCATATTTCTAAATAAATCTATTATTAAAATTTTATAAATTGGTCCATCATAACCATCATATAAATTTTTTTTTAAAGTTTTCCCGTGAATGCTCAAACCTATCAGATCATTCATCAGTTTACCTTTTCTCCTGGAGATTTTCCTCCCAGATGCCTCTGTTCTGCTCCAGTCTGAACTGGTTATTCTCTAGCCCTAGACTGCTTCCACTTTTCTCCTGTATTGAATCTATGGTTTTCTAGATCTCATTTTTCTCTCCATTTGGTGTCCCTGCTTATTTTGCTAGAAAACATTCTCTAGTACCTCCCTAAGAAAAAATGTGTGATAGATAAATGTTCTAAGTCTTTGCCTGTTTGAATGCCTGTTTTTGTACCAGATGGATAGTTTGACTGGGGATAGAAGCTAGGTCATAAGTCATTTCCCCAGAAATGATTTGCAATAATCATTTTTCAATACATGGCTCCATTGTCTTCAAACACTAGTAGTCTCGTTGTATTCTACTTCTCCAGCCTTTGTTTTGTCACTTGGGTTTTGGTTTTGTTTTGTTTTGTTTTCCTTTTTCTTTTTTATCTCTGAAAAATTTGCATTTTCTTTTCTGCCTCTTTTGTTCTTAAGTTTCCATTAATGAACTTTGGGAAAAAATTAGAAAGTAAAAAATTAGAAAGTAAAAATTTTCTAATTTTTAAGCCAGGTGCTTTCAATTGTGAGATTAGTATTTCTCTATTTGGGGAAATTTACTTATATTGTTTCTTTCCCTCCATTTGCTCTACGTTCTTTACCAAGAACCCCTATTAGTCTAATGTTGGATATCTTGGACCTCCCATCTATGATTTTTACAATTTCTTTGTTGATTTTCTAACTCATTTTCTTGGAGATTTTCTTAACTTTATCTTCTAATTCTTCCAAATTAGTTAAGAGTGTATCTGAGTGTATATTTCATAAAAACCAAAGTAACCATGGCATAAAGATGTAGTTTATTTTTCTTTCATGTAAACTAAGTCTGGAGGTAGACTGTCCAGGCTGGTCCAGCAGCTCCTTGAACTCACTGGGGACCTGTCTTCTTTCCAACTGTCTGCCATACACAGTGCATAGCTTCTGTCCTCAAGATCATGGCTTCTGGAGTTCCAGCCATGATATTTATTCTCCAGTTCCAGGCATCAGGAAAGAAGAAGCCAACTGAGTTCCCTCTATGGAGCCTTCTTGGAAGTCCCACACAACACCTAATTATGTTGTATGGTTGCACCTAGCTGCAAAGGAGGCAGGGAAATGTACTCTTTTGGTGGAATAAACTGCCATTCTCAGTAAAATTAGGGTTCTGTGACTGTAGAAGATGGATGGCTCTTTTAGTGGCTAGTGTGTCATAGTTCAGTTGGTGGCATTTTTCTACCTTAGTGGTTCTGAAGATCATGGTGCATTGCACAGTTACTGGTGGATTAGATTAATGAAATAAGGTGGCATTCTCTGCCCCGCCTTCTATCAGATAGTTAACTTTGGCCATGACATTTTTAAGAGTTCCTGCTTGTTCTTTGATTGCATCCTGATCTTGTTTCATGACTATAGTTTTCTCTTCTCTTTCTGGGGATATGAAGTGAGAATCATTTTTTTTTTTTTTTTAAGTTTCTTCTGCTCCTTTCTTTGTTTCCTTTTAATGCCTTTTTCTATCTGTTTTTGATGTCTGTGTTTCAAGTTGGAGGGTTTCCTAAAATGGTCATATTTTTTTGGTCCGTATTTTTTAATAGCTTTCTTGCAATATAATTCACCTGCCGTACAATTCACTGACTTAAAATGTATAGTTTAGTGTTTTTTTAGTATATTCACAGAGTTGTGCAGGTAGTCAATTTTAGAACATTTTCATCACCTCCAGAATAAGCCCCATACCCTTTAGCTATGCTCACTCTCCCAGCTTTAGGCAACCACTGATGCTGTCACTATAGCTTTGACTTTTCTGGACAGTTCATATAAATGGAATCAAACAACATGTGATCCTTTGTGATTGGCTTCTTTCACTTAACGTAATGTTTTCGAGGTTCAGCTGTATTACAGCACAAATCAGTACTTCGTTCCATTTTATGGGTCAATTATACTCCATTGCATGGATATACCAAATCTTGTTCATCTGTTCGTCAGGTGGTAGACTTTTGTGTTGTTTCCAGCTTTTATGAATAGTGCTACTGTGAACTTCATAGCAAGTTGTTTGTGTGGCCATAGGCTTTCATTTCTCTTGGGTAGACATTTAGGTGTGGAATTGTGGAGTCATGTGGCAACTCTTTGCCTTTTTGAGGAACTGCCAGACAGTCTCCAAAAGTGGCTGCACCATCTTACATTCCCACCAGTAGTTGTATGAAGGTCCCAGTTTCTCCAGACCCAGGCTGACAATTGATATTTTCTGTGATTACACTCCTCCTAGTGGGCATGACGTGGGATTCCTTGTGGTTTTGATTTGTGTTTCCCTGTGCTTACTGGTCATTTTTATATCTTCTTTGGAGAAATGTCTTTTGGGTTCCTTTGCCCTTTTTTAAATTGAATTGTCTTCTATTATGGAGTTATGAGCTTATGTATTATACATAGAAGTCCTGTATTAGGTGTGTGGTTTGGAGATTTGTCTCCCAGTCTGTCAGCTCTTTTCACATTCTTGATAGTGTCCTTCGGAGCACAGGGTTTTCATTTTGATGAAGTCTGGTTTGTTCTTTTGTTGTTTATGCCATGCCCATATTTATGGTTATTGGGAGTTTTGTGTGCAAGGTTGGAGTTACCACCTGGTTTTTGTTTTGAGGAAACCAGTAAATGTCAATATGTTTATTAGAACTTTTTCTTCTTGAGGTGGCTCAGCTCTTCCAAAGAAGACTCCTTAGAATTGTGCCTGTGGAAGGGGTATATGTGGTCACTGCATCTGAGGAGTGAGGCAGCCGGGAGGGCTGGGGGTGGGGGGTGGGGGGCGGGGGTGAGCATTTCTTATGCGGGTTTCACTGAATTCTGTCTTCTCTGCCCTGGCCTGTCCAGGGTCCCTGAAGCCTGAAGCCCTCCTGTTTATTTCTGAAGGTGATTATTCCCTGGTCTTTTGCTGAAGGGTGGGAGAAGTGGCCTGGAGGCCTGACCATTCCTCGTACTGCCTTTCAGTCAGTTCCTTGTGTAGAAGCCTGTGCCTCCCCTGCCCCCACTGTCCTGGTCCCTCCAGGCCAGAGTCACCGAGGGCTCCTCTCAGGCATGCCAGCTCACTTCTTAGCTCTAAGCCCTCTGGAGGTGCTTTTAGGTTATCATTGCTTTTGCTTCCTTTGCCCCACAGGGTTCCTTCTGGCACTGGCCAGCCTTTAGTCTTCTTGAGCTTGTTGAACTCTCTTCCCGGTATGGTCTCGTCTCCATGCTGGGTTGAGATGATCTAGAGAGAGAA